GATATACTTGGAACATATATTTTGACTTAGAATCATTTCAGTGACTTTAACAGAGGACATTTTGCTGGGTTTTAAAAAGTTTGCAGATCTCCATAGCCATTTTTGTTACAACATGTAGGGTACCTGGCTTTCAATTAGTTGTCTTATTAAAAGGATTCACAGGGCTACCTATTATTAGTGTATATTATTTTTCTCAATGCTTCAGACACTTTGGCATTTATTTTACTGTTGCCATAGAAACCCAAGTCTGTTATAAGCAGCTTTTTAAATTCTGACAGTTAGGCTTATATAAAAGAATATTTTAATGAGATGAAGAATTTGGAGAGCCCAGCCAGAGGACTGGCGGAAGAACCTTGTTCTCCAAAAGGTTACAAAATTAGTTTAGATTATCCTTTGTTACAATTGCCTTCTTTGACAACTGCTGAGTGTTTATGAGTCAGGGCTTCCTAAGATCTGCATATTCCATAAAGATTGGAGGCTTGCTTATTTCACGGAAACTCTAAATCCATCTGCCCTAGGTTCCCTCTTACACCCGGGCTGCTCCCCTGGTTAGGGGAAATGCCAATTCTCCTTTTCGCTGTAAATCAGAAGATGTCTAGGTTTATTCAGCTTCACAGGAGAATAAACGCTTTTTTAAAGAATCAGTTAAGAAAAAACAATTATGCCTTTCTAAGTTATGAAATATTTGGAAGCCATAAATCTTGTCTTTCTCATATTCATTGCTTATAAAAAATTTTTGGAGTAATATTTATTAATTAATTTTAGTGCTCGGTAACCCATGCACATAGCGCAAAAAACAAGAGGCAGACAGTGAAGTATGTCTCCTTTCTATGCCTGTCCCGAGGTGGCAACAATTGTTACCACTTTCCTTTGTATTCTTCCAAAGCCATTCTCTGTGATCACACACACACACACACACACACACGGACAGTATATTATGCATACTGTATTACACCTTGGTTTTTTTCACTTACTTACTTTCACTTCACTTACTTACTACTGAAAATCTGGATGCTATTCTGTTTCATTAAATGAAGAGCTGCCTGGTTCCTCACAAAGGCCTTTCCCTGTAATTATTTTACAGTCATGCACTGAGTGTTACAGGCATCGTGTAGGGCCCTGTATCGAGGGGAAGACCACGAAGTCCATGCTTTCAGGAGCCCACACTAGTAGAAGGGGCGGCCACCTGTGGAAGTGATCACTGCCCAGTGCACAGCACTGAGTTGTGTCAGGTGGAAAGGGAGGTGGAAGAACGCAGGAGGGAGTCTGGCTTGGCTCAGAAGGGGGACAGAGGGTTCATAGGCAAGATACTTGAGCAGCATCTTGAAAAATAAGCCAGGGGCCCCAGGTAGACAAGGAGGGCAAGTCCATTTCAGGTAGAGGGAAAACTAAGTGCCAAGTCCTCTAGAGTAGAAAATGGCCTGGTGTTTTGGGGAACTGACCGTGCTTTGTTATTGCTGGACAGCAGGGTGTGTGTGTGTGTGTGTGTGTGTGTGTGTGTGAGAGAGAGAGAGAGAGAGAGTGTGTTAAACTAGATCAGTGGCTCTCAAACTTTTTGACCACAACCCCAAGTTAAGAAACATGTTTTACATCATCACACAGTGTGTGTAAAATGGAAACAAAATTTCATGAAACAATACCCTTATTATATGTACTCTGTTTTTTCTACTGGATTCCATTCTACTTTGTTTATAATGCCAGTCATGACTCACTACACTGATTTCACAAACTGCTAATAGGCATTATCCGCAAGTTGGGAAATTATGGAGTATTTAGTGTCCAAAGACTCTGATAGTCTATAAAGCAGTCAGCCTTTCCCTGATTTACGTGACTGTGACCACTTTTTTTTTTTTTTTTTTTTGCGTTACGCGGGCCTCTCACTGTTGTGGCCTCTCCCGTTGCGGAGCAGAGGCTCCGGACGCGCAGGCTCAGCGGCCATGGCTCACGGGCCCAGCCGCTCCGCGGCATGTGGGATCTTCCCGGACTGGGGCACGGACCCATGTCCCCTGCATCGGCAGGCGGACTCTCAACCACTGCGCCACCAGGGAAGCCCTGTGACCACTTTTTAAATAAGACTAGACTGATAAGAGTCAAGAAGCTTATTTGGATATTTATTCATCACCTACAATGTCTTAGACGTTGCGTTACATGCTGGAGGCACAGAGGCAAGGCAAAACAAAGCATGGTCCCTACCCTCACAGAACTAAAAAGTGGTCTCACAGATGAATTATTTGCTGCAATAATTAAAAAATGCATATTTTAGTATAAAAGTAAAGCATACCTATTGTAAAAAAGTTCAAAGTATGTAAAAGCATATAAAATACAAATCCCCTATTCTTTATCTTTTATGAATCCCCTATTCTGATAAGCAAAAAAAAAAGAAAGAAAAAGAAAAAAAAACACCTTACTTTTTCATGCATAAAATTTCTGTATTTATTTCATTAGGAAAGAAGGACTGAATTTCAGGCTGGTTGAATCTCTGACCCTTTGGGAAATGTTTTGGGGAGTACAACTCCATCCCCCAGAGCTTGACTACCCCTACTAGGATGGTTAATTTTATGTATCAACTTCACTGGGCTAAGGGATGCCCAGGTAGCTGGTAAAACATGGTTTCTAAGTGTATCTGTGAGGATGTCTCTGAAAGAGATTAGCATTTGACTCAGCAGACTGAGTAAAGAAGATCACCCTCACCAGTGTGGTGGTCCTGAACAGAACAAAAAAGCAAAGGAAGGGTGAATTTGCTCTCTCAACTGGAGCTGAGACATTCATCTTTTCTTGCCCTCAGGTATTGCGTATATTGGTTCCTGAGCTTTCTGATGCACATGGGGACTTAGCCATCAGCCCCTCTACAATATTCTCAGGCTTTTGGACTCAGACAGAATTATACCACAAGCCTTCCTGGTTCTCCGGCTTGCATTGCGGAACTTCTCAGCCTCCATAGCCAAGCCAGCCAATTCCTATACTAAATCTCCTCTTACATATTTCTGTATATCCTGTGGGTTCTGTTTCTCTGGATAACCCTGAGTAATACACCTATCTTGAAAGAGTAGGTCTAATCAAGTTTTTGATCCAGAAAAGTTGAGGTCCTGAGCCTTTGGTGCCTCAGCTTGGTAATGTCACTTTGTGATGACATCCTACTAGGCCGCCAGCCAGCTGGTCGCTCCGCATCTTAACTGCAACCAGAAAGCTTTCAGGCGAACCAGGACACTGAACAACACTATTACTACTGACATGACATAATCACTTTGGGTGTATTTGCCCAGATGCCTTCTGCTTGATTTCCCCAAGGCTCTCTAGGGATTAGACTAAGTAAGAGTCCTGGATTCTTGCATAAACTTTTGCTTCCATTTGGCTGTCCAGGGCTGGCCTCTTAAACCTCTAAAGGGGGCAGAAGAGGAAACAGTGTGAGGAAGTTGGATACGATCCCACCTCGGGGGAGAAGATTTGGTTTGAGTCATTCACAATTCATTCAACACACATTGCCAGAGCATCTGCAGATTGCAAGTCTCTGTTTGGGGAGCCAAGGGGGCCTCCAAGTTGAACAAACTTGTGGCACCATATTTAACGTAGAGCTGGAATAGTTGGAACAATGTCAGCTTCATCAAGTGTTCCCTGAAGAAGCAGAGCATTTTATAGCCATTGTGTTTACACAGGGTTAGACATACACAGAGGATCAGATTAACCTACCCTTATTTAGCTGGAAAGAAATTTGGAGATGGTGGAAAGAGGATTTAGTGACTTCCACACTTGCTATATTATGTTCAGGGAAATGTTGCGTTTGACTTTATTTATGAGTGGTTTTATATTTCCAGTATATTTGGTCCCTGATCTATTTATAAATGTTTCCGTGCTTGTTCCTCATTGTTTTGACACTTCCTGATAAAAATATCTTTTGCTCTCAGCCTAGAGCTTTGTTTCTCCATAAGGGATATATGTTACTTCCTTTCTTCTCTATTCATTTTCTATTCAGGCCAAGGCAATTCATAACATTATTTGTTGAACATGTGCTGTAAGCTCCTCAGAGCATAAACTGAGTATCACCTTTCTTTTTTCCTCTGCACAACAGCTGGCACATAGGAGTTCAATTTTGAACAGTTAACTGTTACTGAGTTACTTCACAGACTTAAGTCCTGCACCCAACTCACTTGTTATCTGGTAGGGAGAGATGTCCAAGAACACAACTAAAATTTGAAGCAGAATCTATAAAGTACCAGCAGGAGTCAACAGGCAATAGCTTTAGGGTCATGAGAGTGATCAGAATTGATTTGGGGGTTCAGTAAATTTTTTATAGAAGTAAATGAAATTTAAATTGGACCTGGAATGATTGTTAGGATTTCAACATTTATTTCACATTATTGAGCACTCTTTAAGCCAGGTGCTGGGATACAGTCTCTGCATCTAGTTGACAGCCTATGGTCTAGCACAGGAGATAACATGTATTCATCGACGTTGGGGGCAAGTAAACAAAACCAGCTCATACCAACTTAAACAAAAGAGGCACTTGAATAGCTTCTACAACTGCGAGGCCCAGGAGGGCATCAGGCATAAGTGGGTCTCAGAAGTTAAACAATGTAATCCCTGTTCAGGTCTCCTCTTTTTTCCCCATTACAATTGGGCTTCCTCTATGTGGTAATGGTTAGAAGTTATGGTGTGGAAATTGGCCATAGATAACTTTGGGCTTATGTCATCTCAGCTAGTAGACCTGAAGAAAGAGAGATCTTTTCACTTTCCACGGATACGATCCTGAGAAGAGATGCTGATTGGCCCGGTTGGGTCAAGTGCCTATAATTATAGCCAGACAGTCCTGGAGCCACATTTGGGAGCCACGCTAGATCCACAATGCGTGAAGGAGGGTCAGTTCTTTAACTGCAGGGTGAACTTGCTGCCAAAGGAAGGGAGGGGTCAAGGAGGAAGGGATGTTGGGCAGATGAGCACAACAGATAAACTCTGCAAATGTAAACAAAAAACTACAAATGTGACACGGGCTGTAATAGAGATGTGCATTTACTACCATAAGAGCACTGATAAAGGAGTGACTTATGTCATGGAGAGGGCATTCCTGAAGGAGCAAAATACATAAGCAAAGGCACAGAGGTGAGAAAGCAATGGAGATACTTATGGTCCGATATGGTTCAGCACCAGGTAGGTATACCAAGAAGAATAGAAGGGGTAGAAGGTGATGGAGGAGGTTTTGGAGATATGTCTAAAGTGGTGACTTTAAGCCCTTCCAGGGAAGGGCTTTAAAGCAAGCTCAGTCAAGCTCCGTCTAGACTTAACCTGGTGTGTTCAAAGGGAGGGATGTGATTGGAATCATAATTTAAAAATGCTCCCCTGACAAGTGTGTGTGGCACACAGCAATGCTCTGTGCTTCCCAGCCTCTGACCTCTGCCTGCCACTTCTCCCCCACCTCCAGAACGCTGGACCCCCCAGGAACCTCCCTGAGGTCTCTGCCTCTTCAGCCTTAAACTCTCCTGCACCTCCAATTCCATACCACTTGGGAAAACCCTAACCCAAGGTGAGCCCTTCCTTCTGTGCTTTCCCCATATCTGACTCTAGTAGCTGGGCAGTGCTCCGGGGCAAACCTGTACAAGATAAAGTGAAGATGGCCAAGTTTCAATGAGCCCTCTGCCTGGCAAGACAACCCACCCTCGCTCTTCTGTTCATTTTCTCACATAATGATTGCAGATCTCTTCCACTCTTTTGAACCTCTATCCTCCTTTCTCACCCTGCTGCTACCTCCAGCTGGTGGATCTCACCTTCCACTCCAGAGAACTGAATCCTCTCAACTTCCCACTGCCCTCATCTCCCCTTCTCTTCATCTGGCTTTAGTAGTGGATTCCTCTTGCGGTCCCAGGCCAATCCCTGCTCCCAGGCTTTGGACTCTGTACCCCACCTCAAGCGCCTTACCTTTAGCTGATCCCTTCATTCTTATGTAACTACTCTTTTAAAACTCTTTTCCATCAACATCAAACATACTCAACTCTTTTCATCTTACAAAGGAAAAGTCCCAACTCCTCAGCCCCCTCCAGCCACTACCCCATCTTATTTCTCTTAACCACCAAGCTCTTTGAAGGACTTACCTACAAACATCCTCTTTCTTTCACTTATTCCTCAACCCACGGCATCTGACTTCTGCTGCCATCTTTCCATTGAATAGCTCTTACTAAGTGAATTAGTTCTGTTATTCACCTTTCTTAACACTCTTAGCTGCTTTCTCCTTCTGCAAACTTGCTTTTCCTTGCCTCCACAATGCCACACTCTCTTCCTTTCTTCCAACCTCTCTAGCTATTATTTTTTTATTATGGTGAAACATATATAACATATAATTTGTGTTTTTAACCATTTTTAAGTGTACAATTCAGTGGTATTAATTACATTCATGATGCCGTACAACAATCACCACTAACACTTTCTATAACTTTTTTTTTAATGGAAACTCTGTACCCATTAAGCAATGACTCCCATCTCTCCCTCCCTCAGCCCCTGGTAACTTCTAATCTACTTTCTGTCTCAATGAACTGGCCTATTCTAGACACCCCATATAAGTGGAATGGTACAATATTTGTCCTTTGTGTCTGGCTTATTTCACTTATCATGATGTTTTCAAGGTTCATCCATGTTGTAGCATGTAGTAGAAACTCATTTCTTTTTATGGCTCAATAATATTTCATTGTATGGATATATCACATCTGTTGATGACCACTAGGGTTGTCTCCACCTTTTGGCTATTGTGAATAACACTGCAAGGACTGCCGGCATGCTAGTAGCTGTTTGAGTTCTTCTTTGCCATTCTTTTTTTTTTTTTTTTTTTGCGGTACGCGGGCCCCTCACTGCCGTGGTGTCTCCCGTTGCGGAGCACAGGCTCTGGACGCGCAGGCTCAGCGGCCATGGCTCACGGGCCCAGCAACTCCGCGGCATGTGGGATCTTCCCGGACCCGGGCACGAACCCGTGTCCCCTGCATCGGCAGGCGGACTCTCAACCACTGCGCCACCAGGGAAGCCCTTCTTTGCCATTCTTTTGGATATATACCTAGGAGTGGAAATTCCGGGCCATATGGTAATTATATTTTTAGCTTTTTGAGGAAGCCCCATAATGCATTCCACAGTGGCTGCACCATTTAACAATCCCTCCTGCAATGTATGAGGGTTCCAATTTCTCCACATCCTCACCAACACTTATTATTTTCCATTCTTTAAATTACAGTCATTGTATTAGTTTGCTTGGGCTGCGATAACAGAATGCCACAGACTGGGTGGCTTAAACAACAGAAATTTATCACAGTTGTGGAGCCTGGAAGTCCAAGATCAAGATGCCAGCAGGGTTGGTTTCTGATCAGGCCTCTCTTCCTGGCTTGCAGACAGCACCTTCTTGCCATGTCCTCACATGGCCTGAAAGGCCTCTGTGTAGGTAGAGAAAGAGATCTCTGTTGTCTCTTTCTCTTCTTATAAGAAGATCAGTTCTACCGGATTAGGGCTGTATCCTTATTACTTCATTTAACTTTAATTACCTCTTTAAAGGCCCTATCTCCAAATATAGTTGCATTGGGGGTTAGGGCTTCAGCATATGAATTCTGGGGGACACAAGTCAGTCCCTAATAGCCATCCCAGTAGGTGTGAGATGGTGTCTCACTGTGGTTTTCTTTAGCCATTTTTCTATCTCTTTTGATGATTCAACCACCTCTACTCAGCCATTAAATGTTGGAGATGTCAGGACTTGGCCAGAAGCCCTCTCTGTTTCTCAATCCCACACACTCTCTCTAGCCCATTGTGTTCTCCCTTACAATTTCAGTTACATGCCAGTGACTCCCAATCTTAAGGTTTTTTTGTTTTTTTTTTTTTTCGGTACGCGGGCCTCTCCCTGTTGTGGCCTCTCCCGTTGCGGAGCACAGGCTCCGGACGCGCAGGCTCAGTGGCCATGGCTCACGGGCCCAGCCGCTCAGCGGCATGTGGGATCTTCCCGGACCGGGGCACGAACCCGTGTCCCCTGCATCGGCAGGCGGACTCTCAACCACTGCACCACCAGGGAAGCCCCAACTCCCAATTTTAAAATGCAGAACTCTCTTCTGAATTCCAGGCTCCTATAACCAACTCTATTCAATATGTGGATGCCTTATGTATTTATAGTCTACATTTAAATAAACTCCTCTATAGTGCTTACTTGTGCCGGGCACTGTTTTAAGTGCTTAACAATCAGCTCATTTGCTCCTCAAAACAACTCTATGAGAAAGGTAATATTATTCCTAGTTATGGATGAAGAGACTGAGGCTAAAAGGTTTACGTTAACTTGTGCATGCTCCCACAGCTGGTAGATATCAGAGAGAGGTTCACACTCAAGTAGATGGCTGCGTAGTCCATGCTTTCAAACATTTTGCTCTACTGCTTCTCAAATAACCCCTTAAACTCTGTTTGTACAGGGTCAAATTTCTGATTTCATCCTTGTATTAGTTTGCTAGGGCTGCTATAACAAAGTCCCACAAACTGGGTGGCTTAAACAATAGAAATTTATTATTTCATAGTCTGGAGGCTATAAGTCCAAAATCAAAGTGCTGGCAGGGTTGGTCCCTTCTGACGACGATGAGGAATAATCTGTCCCATGCCTCTCTCCTAGCTTCTGGTAGCCTCAGGCTTTTCTTGGTTTATAGTTGGTGTTCTCCCTGTGTTTTCACATGATCTTCCTTCTGCACATGTCTGTGTCCAAATTTCCCCTTTTTAAGAGGACACCAGTTATTTTGGATTAAGGCCCACCCTAATGACTTCATTTTAACTTGGTTATCTCTGTAAAGTTCCTATTTCCAAACAAAGTCACATTCTGAGATACTGGGGTTAGGACGTTAATATTTATTTATTTATTTATTGGCTGCATCAGGTCTTAGTTGCGGCACGCAGGATCTTTTGTTGCAGCACGCGGGCTTCTCTCTAGTGGTGCATGGGCTCCAGAGCACGTGGGCTCTGTAGTTGCGGCATGTGGGCTCTCTAGTTGTGGCCCTTTGGCTCAGAAATTGCAGCATTCAGGCTTAGTTGCCCTGTGGCATATGGGATCTCAGTTCCCCAACCAGGGATTGAACCCACATCCCCTGCATTGGAAGGCAGATTCTTAATCACTGGACCACCAGGGAAGTCCCCAGAACTTTAACATATCTTTTTTGAGGGGACACAATTCAACTGATAACAATTCCCAAACCTGGCCTACCGTGTTTTCCTAGCTCAGTGAATACTTTAGTCATTTGTTCAAGTGAGAAACCTAGGAGTCATCCTGGCACTTCACTTCCCCCACTCCCATGCCCAATGCACTGCCAAGTCCTGTTATAGCTCCTGAATCACTCCTAACATCTTCACTGCCCTCCATCTCCATTGCCACCATCATAGGTCATGACCTCATTCTCTCTCACTTGGACTTCCACAATAGGCTAGTGCTGGTCTCTACCTCCCTCCAATTCAGGCTCCATATTGTACTGAGAGTAATCTTCCCAAACAGTTCTGACATCTGACTGCGTCCACTCCCATCCTCATTCCTTCCCTGAATGAAAACTCTGTTGGTTTCCCACTTGCTGTTAAGATATAAACCAAAATCCTTAACCTGGTCCACAAAGCTTCCCCTGATTTGCCCTGGCCCCCCTCCTGGCTTCACTAAGGTCCCTGTCCTTCCAGCATTCCTGTCCTCCACACTACACTTCTCTTGGTTCCTTTGATGAGCCTTGCTCCCTCCCACCATGGGTGGGCACTTTGCCCTATGGTGCCCTCTGCTTAGATGTGCTCTCCAGTTCCTTCTCTCCTTTCTAATCTCCTCCTTCATTTCTCAGCTGCTATCCCTTTCTCAAGGAAGCCTTCCTGGCTTTCAAAGTTGATTCAGTTTCCTTCACTATACTCTCTTATTGAACGGGGTTCCTTTTCTTCACAGCTCTACTTCCATTTGAATTAGGCTCATTTGTGTTTTATTTGATTTTTCTCAGTGTCTTTCACCAAACTATAAGCCCCACGGAGGAGGAAAAGATCCATTGGAGGAAAGATCCATTCTGCTCACTATTGTAGCCACATTCTTCTTTTTTATATTCTTTTCCATTATGGTTTATCACAGGGTATTGAATATAGTTCTCTGTGCTATACAGTAGGACCTTGTTGTTTATCCATCCCATATATAATAGTTTACATCTGCTAACCCCAAGTTCCCAGTCCTTCCCTCCCCACATCCCTCCCCTCTGGCAACCACAAGTCTGTTCTCTATGTCTGTGAGTCTGTTTCTGTTTTGTAGATAGGTTCATTTGTGCCAAATTTTAGATTCCACACGTAAGTGATATCGTATGTTATTTGTCTTTCTTTCGGACTTAACTTCACTTAGTATGATAATCTCTAGTTGCATCCATGTTGCTGCAAATGGCATTATTTCATTCTTTTTTATGGTTGAATAGTATTCTATTGTATCTATGTACCACATCTTCTTTATCCGTTCATCTGTCAATGGACATTTAGGTTGTTTCCATGTTTTGGCCAGTGTGAATAGTGCTGCTATGAACATAGGGGTGCATGTAACTTTTTGAATTATGGTTTTGTCTGGGTATATGCCCAGGAGTGGGATTGTTGGATCATGTGGTAATTCTATTTTTAGTTTTCTGAGGAACCTTCACACTGTTTTCCATAGTGGCTGTACCAACTTAACATTCCCACCAACAGTATAGAAGGATTCCCTTTTCCCCATACCCTCTTCAACATTTGTTATTTGTAGACATTTTAATGATGGCCATTCTAACTTATGTGAGGTGGTACCTCACTGTAGTTTTGATTTGCATGCCTGTAATAATTAGTGATGTCGAGCAGCTTTTCATGTGCTTACTGGCCAGCTGTATGTCTTCTTCGGAGAAATGTCTATTAAGGTCTTCTGTCCATTTTTCGATTGGGTTGTTTGTTTTTTTGTTATTGAGTTGTATGAGCTGTTTGTATATTTTGGAGATTGAGCCCTGTCTGTTGGATCATTTGCATATATTTTTTCCCATTCTGTAGGTTGTCTTTTCATTTTTTCTATGGTTTCCTTTGCTGTGCAAAAGCTTGTGAGTTTGATTAGATCCTACTTGTTTATTTTTGTTTTTATTTCTGTTGCCTTGGGAGACTGACCTAAGAAAACATTGGTACAATTTATGTCAGAGAATGTTTTGCCTATGCTCTCTTCTAGGAGTTTTATGGTGTCATGCCTTATGTTTAAGTCTTTAAGCCCTTGTGAGTTCCCCATTACTTTAAAAAGTTCTTCACTATGCTCACAACTCTGTAAGTAGTTCTCCTGTGACCCTATAGCTAATAACAGATAGAGACCATTTATAAGACTATTGTCCAAGCAGCAGGGAGTGGGGGCCTGAGCAGGGGAGACACTCAGAAAAGAAAGATGGGAATAGATGTACGGTAAATGAACTCTGCAAGGCTTAGTGACTGATTCAGTGTATGAACTGCATACTTTCTGAGAGCAGGCATTATATTTCATTCATTCTTTATCCCAACGGCTAGCTTGGAGTAGGTACCCAATAAATAATTGATTGAAAGGGTCAAAGGTGATTCCAAGTTTCAAGTCTGGGTGATTCCCCTTAAAGAAAGGAGCAGTCAGGTTAATTTGCAAGCAGTAAAGTAACAGTAAGAATGACACAGAATGTTACTGAAGAAATAGCATCATTTTTAGGGTCAGAAGAATCTAAAGCCCAACTTTCCCACTCGATCTTGAGTAAATGACTTGACATCCCTCTTTGAGATCATTTCGTTATCTATAAAATGGGAATAAAAACCGCCAACTCATAGTGCTGCTATGAGGAATACTTGAGATCACATATGTAGAGCATATACCCACGCTGAGAGAGACCTTCACCAAGCTAGACATATTGAGATGTGACACGGAGACCCAAAGACATCAGGGACCATTCACAGAGTTTTCCTTTGAAGTATCTTTCTTGTCACCATAAAACAAGCCATTAGTTACCTGTGTCTGCTACATTCTTTCCTGGACTCTCACTGTGGATTTTTCCACCTGCCTTTTGTGGAATTCTAGAAAGTTACAACTTGGGCCGTCATTACTCAATAGATTCTATTTTAGCATTTAGAACTCTGGACTCCTCAGGGTGTGGCTAATGATATGAGCCTTCCTCCTTTTATTGTGTTTTTAATTTAAGCACTTGATTTAAGACCATTAGGAATACATTAACCCTATAGCAGAGATGGAATTCAGACTCAAACCCTCCTTTCACCCTTGTGCCCTTTGTATCTTTTTTTTCCTCTGTTCTTCTCTAAGTGTCCTTAGACCAACTCCTATTGGTCTCAAAGATATAATTTCCCCACCCCAGCTAGGCAGCTGGCTTCATATTTCAGTCCCCAAATGGTTGTCTCCAGTACTCTGGATTTCAGCTGTCCCCAACCTTTTTGGCACCAGGGACCAGTTTCATGGAAGATAATTTTTCCACGGACAGGGAGTGGGGGGGTGGGGGTGGAGGGGGGCGGGTGATGGTTCAGGCCGTAATGTGAGCGATGGGCAGTGACGCGGAGCGGCAGAGGAAGCTTCGCTCGCTGCCCACCGCTCGCTCCTTCTGTGGGCCCGGTTCCTAACAGGCCAAGGACCGGTACCGGTATGTGGGCCGGGGGCTGGGGACCCTTGCTGTACTGGATTTGCTGAAATAACTATGAATGCTTCCCCAGGAAACAATGCAGTTGTGGGAACTGGGTAGTTGAGAGGAAGAAGTTCCCTTTCAAGATATTTATAATTCAAATAATGACCTCTGTTGACCTGCTACCCAGAATTAACCTTCCCTTCTAACTCATGAGAGTTGACTTTCCTACTGTTTTAGTTGTCACCCCTTTCTCCTTTAATGCATCTCTGTAAGACTTGTGTTTCAAAGAATCTTACATATCAGGTTTTATTTTAGCACTCCAGGCTTCAGTGTTCAAGAACACTTTTCATCATGCAGTTTACTCTGGTTGAACATTCACAACTTCACACACGTGCCATTTCTGTAAGATTACCAAGGCTAGTTGTGACTTCAAAATGAGAAAGCATGCTTTAAAGGTGTAAATATTGTATATATTTTTAATATGCATTAATAGGTGGCATAGTAAGACTTCTTGAAGTCCGTAAAATTCAGCATAGAGGAAAAACAAAAAGGTATGCATTGAGTTTTCATTTGATACATATAACTCATTCTTTCCTACAATTTCTTTGTTTCCAGATTTCTTCATCACAGTTCCTTAGGCTTATATGAAAATGCTCCTGCTACCTCATGGAAATATTTGCATTCTAACCAAATAATTTCAAGGCTTCTCAAAGGCTGAGGGAGATCCAGGCTGCCTCCATTATTTTTGAGGTTCCCAGTATATTAAACTTTTTAAAAATACTAAAATAAAGTTTTAAAAATCGGTGGTGTTTTGAACGCTTAAATTTTAACAATTGATTACCTTTAACACAAAAAATTTACAACACAAGACAGCTGTGCTAGTCAGAAGATAATTAAAAGATTTAACTTAAAAGTCTGTAGTACACTAAAGGTGATGTGGTTTAGTTAGGGAATCTCAGTTTTGAATTTGGATGGGGGTATCTTCTTTCAATACCATCAGAATATTTTTGTGTTACCTCCTTTGGAGGTGAATCAAAGGCCTAAATTCCAGGCCCTTTATAAATGTGGGACCTAAGCCAGATAGACTTCCAGCTCTGCGCTCTCTCCTCTTCCTCTCCCTCACATTATTATTTAGTAATACATCATGAATTAAAGATGATCACCGTTGAGTCTTATCCATTCCAGTGGTGTAAAGAAAAACTTTGAATAACCCTAGCTTGGGTAAACTCAATAAAGGGCAGATTCTAAGGCCAGTTTCTCCCCCAAATGCGGAAGCCTAGGTTTTTCTAAGCTCATTTTTATAGGTATTGGTTTGCTATGTCTTATTTAGATCACAAGCTCCTTACAGAGAAACTCTATCTTACTAAAAATGGCAATTAATACTATTGGGTAATTCCCATTTAAACTGTTTAAGATTTAAACAGAAAAGCAATTGTCTGTTTATTATATGGGCGACACTAAGATTTACACACATATATTTATAGTTGTGGGAATATCCTGAACCCCATGCTTCTGAACACAGACAGCATCACTGTTAGCCAACATATAATACACATATACATACATACGTACATATATAAGTAAATATCATTCACTCAAGTGATTGCCTTTGATTTAAAAAATTCTGTCTCAATTTTAGTAGCACAGAAAAGATACTTGACCATCTGCATGTAATTTGTAGCTGAAACCACCCTTTTGTGTAGACAAGTTGGCTGTTCCATGGGGTCAATAGAAACCAGATATGGTTGGACTTAGATCATCAGCCATTTTGCCCTGGGAACTACTAGGTCAGTGGGTCATAGAAGAGAGAGGGCGGATGGTGCAGCAGGATCCTCAAAGCAGCAACTGAAAGGTCTAGGGATTTTGGTCTTCCTAAGACGCTGAGAAATCTCACCATAACCTCATAAGCTCCGGGCCAGCACAGGTAGAAAGCCGATTAATGAAGGTTAAGCAGCCTGGGTCTGCAGGTGAGCTTCTCCTTTTTGTAAAGGAGAAAAAGCCAAGTGGAGATGTAATTTCAGCAGAGATGGCGAAAGAGGGCAGAGAAAGGAGTGTTTAGAGAATAAACGGAATTGACAAATATATTCCCTTAATAAACACTCAGCAAAACCATTTTGAATGTCAGCTTCCTCCTTGATATATTTAAAAGTTTATTAACCAAGTAATAACTATTTGTTTCTTTTAAAAGTTACAGATTTTTAAGCTGTTTTGCTCTTCTTAACAAAACACAGAATGCCCCTCCCCCAATAAATACACTGCACTGAATTCATATGATTGCAATTTCCCCAGCACATAGACCAGAAATGCCAAGTGGCCTCACGTGTTGTTTTTCTGAAAAAGAAAATGGAATTGTCCCTTTAACAAATACAATCGGTAAGTTGAAAACAATGAAAAGAAAAATATATCCAATTGAAAAAAACATTAGATCCTAAACACTGAGCTTTATCTACTTTAATAACATAAATGCTAGTTTATCTAGATGGGTGTTACCACCTAGTATTACAGTAATTCTGAATAATGCAAACCCAAGTTATAATTACCTGGAATGCTAACTGTTTTTACTAAGACAGTCGCAAAGTTTTTTTGTTGTTTACTTGTTTACTTTTGTAACTGGAGATCTAGATTACAATTTTCAAGGGCTCTGTGGACCAACCCTCTGATGCAAAGCTAGGGTCTTTAATTAGGATAAACTGGGTGGTCCTTTTTTATCCTAAAGTTAGGACTCCACTGCTCATCAAAGTTAGAAGTTTTTGTATCAGCATTTGCAGGTTTTCTCCCCCCAGAATTTCTTTCATTTCTCTTTAACAACAAAAAAAGAAAAGGAATGTATTCCTGAGGGAATTTGCGATTGTTCCCCCAGACAAAGCCAGTCATCGTCTTAAGTGAAGCAGTGACTGTGACAAACTGGCAATTACTTGGTTTTAATTCCTGAACTTGAAATTAAAATGAGAAATATTTCCTTTCAGGGTCTTTTAAAAGAACACTCACTGGTGTGAAACTTGGGCAGCGGCCAATGAGGGGTCTCTGGCTGTGCCAGCCAGGCTCTCCAGGGGAGCAGGTACTGACAGAGGGAAGGGGTGGGAAAGGGGAGGGAAGCCGGCTGGGCAGGGGAGTCATCCGACCCAGGCGGACTTGACAAAGGCTTTGTCAGGACCAGGGGCGCTCAGGCCACCGCCTGTACGGTTAAGTAGACCTCTATCTGGTGGAAACATCTGGGCTCTGAGCACCGCCCGCCTCACTCCCTGCTGGAGCGGCTGGGGAAGGGCTATCAGCCCCCGCGCTGCTCCGTGCAGGGCGCATGGCAGCACCGCCGCGGCCTCCGGTGTCCCGCTAGCCGAGGGGAGCCTTTGTTTTCCCTCCCAAACCCCTCAAACGTCTCTTGTTTCCCCGGTCCTCACCTCCTCCCTATCCCTGGGAAAAGTCTAGATTTTTCTCACTTTGTTAGGCAGAGCACTTCAGTATGATAAAAACAACTTTTCCTTTTTAGTGGGAGGAGTCATCTTTTCTATTCAAAGAGGCCTACCTGGTATCTTCCCTGGATATAAATATAAAATATTAAGCTACTCCCTTAGTATGAGAAAATAGTTGTGTCAATTCTTGTTCTAAGTAGCACCTTCCCCTTTTTATTATACACGCAAACAACTAGGGATGCTGGGAGCGGAGTGACATTTGGAAGCAAAAGCAGAGACTTTTACTGCCTTACATGCATGCCCATTTGACTTCTCACCTTCTAAGCTCGCCTTTGGGGCTTAATGGTTCATGTACATCAGAGACTGGTTTAGGGTGGTTTAGACTGGTAGAAGCTGAGGAGTTACTTTCTTAAATATTCATGACTAAACAGAATGCTAGGGAATCAAACAACACCCTTTGCCTACAACAACACCCTACAAACAACACCCTTTGCCTACAGTTGACATTTGATAAATGTTGCTTTTGCTATTTAATTGGTGATCCTTTAATTCTGTTGAGAGCAGGAACTTTACTACATAAACTCAGAAGTACAAAAATATCATATTCTTGATTTGTTTAAAACCAAATGGTAGGACTTTCCTGGTGGTGCAGTGGTTGAGAGTCCGCCTGCCGATGCAGGGGACGCGGGTTCGTGCCCCGGTCCGGGAAGATCCCACATGCCGCGGAGCGGCTGGGCCCGTGAGCCACGGCCGCTGAGCCTGCGCGTCCGGAACCTGTGCTCCGCAACGGGAGAGGCCACAACAGTGAGAGCCCGTGTACCGCAACAACAACAACAAAAACAAATGGGATCCCTATGTCTTTCCCATGTTGAAATTCTGGAGCTTTATTGATATGTATGATCTTGAAGCTTGCCTTTTTTGTAGGATAGATTCCTAAAAGTGGGATTTTTAGGTCAAAAGGTCAGTGTATTTTGAATTTGAACATATAGTTCTGTGTACTATCTCACAACCAGAAGTATGAGAATGACTGATTATCCACACCCTCACCAGCCTGGAAGTTATCAATCTTTTCAACTTTTGCCAAGCAGATGGGCAAAAATTCAATTTTGCTATTATTTTAATTTGCATTTCCCTGCCTACTGGCAACTGCACTTCCTTTGATCCACTGGCTCATCTGTCTTCTTATTGATTTCTAAAAAGCCTTATGTAAGTAAGGGCTCTTAACTCTTTTTGTGTATGTGTATGCTGCAAATACATATATACTTAATTTATCACTTGTCTTTTGGCTGCCTGTGGGCTAACAAAGACACAGACCCCTACCCCTCAGCTCATATTCCAATGGGGGCATCAGATGAAAGACAGATAATGATAACACAACTTGATAAGGTTGTACACAGATAGTACATCTCAATAAATGCCTGAGGGGGGCACTTCTAATATCTGTAGCAGGCAAAATTTGTTTTCACATTAATATTACTTTTCAATTGGTAATGGAAACAATGTAACTCTATTGAAGGCCACTGGCTTACATTTATCATGAAGTCAGGCAAAAAGGTTGCTACTGTTAATTTTGCCAGGGCTTGACCACTTTTAACCTTATTCAACTTCTAACACTTCTCACATGTCCTCTCTCAACCTATTACTCCCAAATTCCATTCTTCCTCAGAGTGTTTCTATCCACCCTTCTATTTTCATAGGAATGGTATTTGCTAGTTTGTGATTTTTTTTATACATCTCCAGTGAGTGTTAGGCTCTTAATATACACATTAAAGCCATCTAAGAAGCATTAATTTCTTCAAATAGCTGACTATCCAAAAAGAAGTTTCAGACTTTATATTTTAAAATAGGAGAGCCCATTTTCCTGTATAGTATTAACTTATTTAACAAAGTTTGATTGCTTACCTCCTGTATACTAGGCACTGTTTTAAAAACTGTGGTTATAATATTACATCTACATGTTCATGGGACTTATGCTGAGGGAGAGAGAGACATTAAATCAGTATAAACATAAGTTTATAATGTCAGATACATACTATAAAGAAAAAATAAGATAGCATAAGAGAGTGTTATGGGTTGAATTGTGTCCCGCCAAAAGATGTTGAAGTCGTAGTACCTGTGAATGTGACCTTATTTGGAAATGGGATCTTTGCAGGTGATCAAGTCAAGATGAGGTCGTTGGAGTAGGTCTTAACCCAATATGACTGGTGTCCTTATAAAAAGGGGAAATTAGGATACAGTCAGTGACAGACACTCACACAGGGAGAATGTCATGTGAAGATGAAGGCCAAGATCTGAACGATGCTTCTATAAACCAAGGAACACCAGTGATTGCCAGCAAACCACCAGAATCTAGGAACAAGGCATGGAACAGATTCTCCCTCACAGCCTTCAGAACAAACC